GCTTAAAGAGATTTTTTTGATGCACAGATAATAAAAGAAATTACAGTAATCCAGCCTAGATGTGATAAATGCATGGATCAGGTTTTCCCCATCATTTTTGGACAAAAAGTTTCTTATTTTTGTGATATTACACAGGTGGAAGAAGACAGCCATGGTAACATTTAAAAAAAATGTGGTGGTTAAAAGACATGTCCTGATCAAAAATAACACCAAGGTTGTTTACATTAGAACTGGAGGCCAGAGTAATGTCATCCAGAGGAGGTGAAAGGCTGCAAAGTTGATCCCTAAGATGTTCAGATCCACTAACCACAACCTCTGTCTTAYYTGAGTTTAGAAGCAGAAMGTTAAGTCATCCAMGTTTTTATGTCGTTAAGACATGCTTGTAGTTTAAGTAAAGAAAAAGAAAAGGTTTCTTTAAAAACAAGATTAATACAGCCATGCTGAACAACTAAATGTTAAAGACAGTCTGATTAGATCCAAAATGAAACAATATTTATGGAAAAGAAATCTTGTTCGTGTGGGGTCTAAAACACAAGTTGGTKTCACTAATTTAATCTGCAGAACATGTTAAAATAGATACAAACTGTCCAGACCGATCTTGTGTACTCATTTTAAAGGGATTTCCAATTACTTGTAACATTAGACAGTATTTGAAAAACATTTACTTCCTCTGCAAAAATGATTACTGTARAAATACTGTAGGATGATTAGTTTATATATTTTTTTACAAATATATTGTCACACAGACAGCGTCATTTTATGAACACTGCAAACCTTAAGTCTTGGATGAACAGAAGCTTTATGGCAGAAATAAGTCACTGACATCTTCTGGGAAGGATAGATGCAAAACATGTCTTCATATCTTGGGATTTTTGCTTTAGATTTACTAAATGTTTTTTTTTACCCCCCTCACATTAACACTTTGCTGCAAATTTGCAAGTTCTCTTTCACATGTATAATTCAGTCAGTGGGCTCTGTTGTTGCAAGCCACAAGGCGATAAAGTTTTGTTCCCTTTTTTCACTGGTTGTAATTCATTCTCTCAGGCTATGCTCTGAAAGAAAGTCACTTTAAGTCAAGGATTTTTACATTTTTTAAAACATAGTTACAGTCTGATTAAGACATAGCTACAGAGTGAATGATGTGGAGGACCAAGGTTGTTAATTTGTCTCAATTTTTTGCTTCTGGTTTCATTTGCTGGCTACTGGCATGAGGCCCCTTTACTGTGAAAGGTTACTCCACTTTCTAATTAAAGAGAAACCGGAGATATGATTATTGGTGTAATAATGGTGCTGCTATTGGATCAGAATATTGCCAATTGCATTTTGCTGCATCACACTTCAGTGTAATGACAATAAAGGAAAATTGTATTGAATTGAAATAAATTATTGTTCATCATTTGGAGCTCATTAATCTGAAATCCATAATATACCAGTAACTGCATGTTGTGGAAAACAAGGTAGGCCAAGTCATAAAATGTGAAAATGTTCAATACATTAGAACAGCCTGACAAGTTTGTTTCTGCAAATCTGTTTCTTCTGCTTTGTTGTGGTGAGAATGCTGCAGCTATAGTGCTGTGGCATTCGCTGCGGTCGCCCATCTCTGTGCAGCTGAACGTCTCAGACCCTTCAGAGAGGAAGTGACTCACACAGGGTGGACAGTGAGAAGCAGCGAGTGCCTTTGTTCCAGCAGCCGTTCTCATAGCTGCAGCTATGAGTGGCCTCACCTTCCAGCAAATGTGATGCTTGATTATTAATGCTGGCCAGCATTTATGGAGATAAGTTTGTCTTTTTWAATTYATTTATRGCTGAAATAACAAACCCCTTTTAGGAGWTGCCATTTGTTTATCAGGCTATGATTTAGGGTTATAATCATAAAAACAGGTTACCACCTAGATTAAACTAGCTTAGGCTGGGGATTACAGGTCTGCACGGTGCCTCAGTTGGTAGAACTGTTGCCTGTCAAGAAGGTTGTCAGACTAACGCCTGAGCAGGGACATTTCTGGGCAGACTTTGCATGTTCTCACTGGGTTATCTCCAGCAGAGGCGGAGCCAGACTCTTTTGCAAGGGGTGGTATGAAGATGGCAAGTTTTTTTTTTTTTTTTAGGAGAGCACATTAGGGTTGGGTAATATTGGCAAAAAAAAGAATCACGATTAATTGTGGTGTTAAGTTGATAACGATTAATTTGACGATTAATCCCTTGGAGTCCCTGGACATCCTCATATCCTGGTCACATGACCAGTTTAGTGGGAAAGATTTGCTCTTCATAAAAATGTTCCAAATTGTGTCAAAATGACAGATTTCAGGCTATATACATCATATTTTTAAATTGTGTTGATAGATAAATAAATTACAGAACTTTTTTATTTTTGATGTTCATCATATTTGAAGCGGAGAGGAGCACCAAGCGGACTCTGTCTGGTGGCATTAATAGTATTAATCGTCAAGTGCCAAAGAATAATTGATTTATGTTTTTCTGACGATTAATTGCACACGATACGATTATGCCCAACCTGAGAGCACAAACAAACAAAGAACACAGCTATTTCCAAATGGCTTCAATTCAGCTGTTTTATAGAATATTGAGCTGAAAGTGTGTGTGTGTGTGTGTGTGTGTGTGTGTGCGTGCGTGCGTGCGTGCGTGTGTGTGTGTGTGTGTGTGT